GAAAGGTCTACCAGTTAACCTACAGCCGTTTAATACTCAATTCCCTAAGAGTATACTCTTAGTACCCTTTGAGTCCTGATAAGTCGTTGCGGAGGTTAGGAGTCTTAAAGGCCAGGTTAGGAGTCTTAAAAGCCAAGTTAATGTAATCTATATATATAATACATTCCTATTATTTAATATATAGGAATTATAGATATATGTATGATTAAAATATTAATACAATTCTGATAAGTTGACTACGACTTATCAGGTAATTCTATATTAGTTACTATACTATCTGTATCTGAATAATAAATTTTTCCACCTTTGCTTAATATGTATAATTTTATTTTACTTATATGTATTCTTCCATAAGCTGTTACAGCAGCACTAATAGGAACAGAAGTTACATTTAAAGATTGTATCTCCTGATCTTTATGATTATTTGCAATTTTAATGAAATCAAGTTTATGGCTATTTATTATATCGTAATCTAGTCTAGGAATATAACTAACTAAAAATTTATCCTCAGCAACTTTTTTATAAGATGTAATCTTATTCATAACAGCTTTTTCATCAAATGTTTTCGTAGTTACTAATTTAGTTACTGATTTATCAAGTGTTATACCGAATCTACCTAATAAATTATTAAGTAGACTTTTAGCCATAGATTTCTGTGTATTGTTAACTGGATTTGACTTAATGTTATACACTTTACTTATATAATCTTTAAAAACATTAGCTTCTCTACTAAAACTATAACCTCTAATTACCTGTATATTGTAACCATTTTCTTGTGCAAATTTAAGTTCTTCACTGAAATATCAACCCTCTCATTTACCTATAGGAAAGTTTATACCTGATTTCGTTCTTACAGGTAGAAGACCTAAATAGCTATCTAAAGGACTTTGAACAATACAGTTAAAAAACCAAATAAATTACCTAAATCTTGTTTATCTGTAAAAAATTGTATTTTATAACATTCTAAACCAGGCATATCTTGTAAAGCTACATAAGGATATAAACTATTAACATCGTAGTAGTATAAATTTTTACCATAGGGTTTATAAACTTCTGTAATACCTCCGTAATATGCTTGTTTTATATCTCTATATATACTAGCCTTACTTATAACAGGTATATTATTATTATAGAAATCCTTTAGAAATATACGTGTAGCTAGTCCTGATATAGTAAGATTATCTGTCATATTCACATCATAATCCATAAATACTTGTTTATTTGCTTTAACAAGTACTTCGTATAAACTCATTAAATCATTATGAAGATATTTAATAGTTTCATCATGAAAAGATCAGTTTTCTGAATATATATTCTTATATTCTTCTTTAGATATATTTTCATAATAACTAATATCAGGAGTATTACCTTTATAAAATAAATGATCTTCAGTAGAAAACTTATAAGGAAATACAGATTTTAGAGTATTAACTTCAAAATTCTTTCCTAACCTATTTAGAGAATCTGCTAACATACAATAGCTATCCATTATAGTAAAACTACGGTTATTCTTAGATATCGTAATTTTTATAATCTTATCCTCTCTTAAAATAGGTGAAATGTTATATTTATCGTTGTTATTCTCATTATAAGTATCTAATACTTTTAATATAAAAACAACATCAAACCCAGATAAATTATGACAATAAAACGTAATTTTATCATATTTTGGTCTAAGGAGTTCATTAATCATAGATAATACTACATTATCAGAATCTAAATGATCCTCATTAATATAATATATGATAGGACTATCAACCAAATTAGTCTTAAACCCTAAAGCATATATTTTATATTTGTTATCTTTGGCTAAAAAAGTTTCAGTGTCAATAACTCCTATATTAGGATTACCAATAAATAAGACGTTACTGTTAGGTTTTTCTATACACTTAAGTTTAATATTTTGTTTTGTCATAAGAACTTTATTGTTAGCTATCAGAATCTCTTTTTCACCTGATTTTCTAACAACAAGATTATTATTATCCTTTATATCAATAACACGATTAATTACAACTCCATCTAAAGAATATCTGATTTTTTCTAAAGAAGATTTTTCTATATACTTAACAGCAAGAATGTAGTAATTTACATCCTTAAGTAAATAGAATTTAAAACTGGCATCAAAATCAGTAATATTATCACTATGTTTAGCTCTAATAAATTTAGCCTTATTTCTAATAACATCTAAAAAATTAATCCTCTTATTGTTAAAATTTAAAATAATATCAATAATCTTATTATTTTCAACAATAATACCTAAAGGTTTACCTAAAGAATCTTCAGATACAGAAACAGGAATATTCAATTTTCGTTTAGTACTATTTATATCTGTACTAGATATGTGATTAGACTTATCCAAAGAAAACACAGATAGCAATTTAGTATCTAATCTTCTAAAAATAAGTTGAACATAAACAACAGACTCATCAATTAAACTATACTCCTCGAAAGCTTCTTCTAATCTATCGTTAACAATACCAAGTAAGTCGTATATTTTATCCTCTGAACTAAAATCAAATCCAAATTGATTACCAAGCATAAAAAAACTATCAATATTATACCTAACCTTTATATAAACAGTATACATTAATCCTTTAGTTACATTAGAATTTATCTTATTATTAAAAGCCGGATAGTTAAGCTCATAGAAATTGAAATATATATTCAAAGCTTTCTCTTTACTTTGTATATATTCACTAGGAATATGTTGTAAAAAAGGGTTAGTATTGAGTTGTGTAAACCTAGAGAAATTTTTATTATTAGTGACAGGGACACAGTGAACTGGATAGGTTAAGTAATATGGTCTTTTATCGAGATTCAATCTCGTGTTCATCATTTTATTTCTTTTGATCATCATAGTTTAATGCATGCCCTCCTGCACGGAAACCATCCTTTTCAGATTAGGAAACTTTAGTCAATAAAGTGACACGAACTGTAATCCGTATTCTTATCCGTATATCTTGTACGAATTCAGCTTGTAATGTTTTCAACAAGATAGCTTTTAACAACTCAAGACTTTAAACCCTTTAAAAAAACTCATTGCTATTAATTAATATATTATATTATAATATTATTATTATTATGATCCTCAATAATAAATAGATATGAATAAAAATAATCAAACAACATCAACGAAGTGTCAGTAAAGTATACCGGCTTCTAAACCTAGATGGTGATTATCTGTTAAATGGTAAGCTAATAAACGTCAAAAACCTACTGCTAAAAATGCTGTACCTATCATTACATGTAGACCATGAAAACCAGTTCCAAAGTAAAAACAAGATCCAAATGCTCCATCTGTTATAGTAAAAGATGAAACTGAATATTCTATTCCTTGGAAACCTGTAAATATAATAGCTAAAATAATAGTGAAAATTAAACCGTATAACGCTCCTCTTCTGTTACCTTGTATTAAAGAATGATGAGCATATGTTACTGTTACACCCGATGATAATAGAATTACTGTATTAAGTAAAGGTAATTCAAACGGATTAATCGCTTCTATACCCATAGGTGGTCACATTGCTCCTAATTCAACAGTAGGAGAAAGAGCACTATGAAAGAAAGTTCAAAAAATTGCTACAAAAAATAAAGCTTCTGACACTATGAATAAGGCCACACCCATATTAAGTCCTCTTTGAACAGCTAAAGTATGATTACCTATATAGGTACCTTCAGATATAATATCACGAAATCAAAATGACATAGATAACACTAAAGTAAAGAAAGCTAATGTAAGAAAATATTCTGAATTATTAAATCCATGAAAAGATAAAACACCTGAAGTAGTAAGAGTTAATAAACTAATACTAGTGTACAATGGTCAAGGAGAAGGAGAAACTAAATGAAAAGGATGAGCTTGAAAATTACTTCTGTGTATATTTAACAAAGATTATAATAATATAAGGGTTTCAATAATTACTAGAATATATATTCTAGTAATAATACGGCAAGCCAGGAGAGAAAATCGAATTCTCATTCTTAATGCATGAAATTAACGTTCTAACCAATTGAACTATCCTGGCTTAAACATATATTAATTCATTTAATGAATAGGGAGGATACCCTGAATTGAACAGGGAACTTACTGTGCCACATACAGTTGTTCTACCTATTGAACTATATCCACCTTTAAGTAACTATTCTTATAAAAATCTTTATGTTGAGGTGATTCGAACACCTATAAATAAACACCAAAAATTTATGACTTACCGATTAGTCTACAACATATTTAGAGAGTTATATTTAACTACAGTATGCATGGTAATACTTAAATATATATGATAATATGGGTAGTAAGACTTGAACTTACATGATATAATTTCATCCCGTCCTAAGCGGGACCTGTCTACCAATTTCAGCATACCCATTAATATGTTATTATATAAAATTTATATAACTTTACATATAATTTGCCCAAGATAAGATTTGAACTTATAGCCTAAACATCTTCAGAGTTCCGCTCTACCAGGTTGAGCTTCTTGGGCTTTTTTCTATTTTGGATCTTTTATATTCCATTGTATTGGATTAGTTTATAACTTATATAGCAAATATTTACTATAATTAATCTTTAACATATATATTATACAGCTTTTTAACCTTGATCTATAACGTAATAAAATAAATACAAATTATGTATAATTTTTAGTACCATACAAAACTATACAAAATAAATAAAAACGCGTACAAGATTTGAACTTGTAAAAATATGTCCGTAGCATAACACTATACCAATTTAGTTAACGCGTTATAATTTACTACAAAATATTACAATATATTATATTTTAATAAATGAAAGTTATATACGATAAGTTTTAAATAAACACCAAGTTTTTTTTTTTAGACAGATGCCAAATTTTAAACTTATTGTTGTATTATTAAAAAATTATCTATGTTAGTAAATAACTTTTTTATTTTTTTTTATTAACATTTATATATAATATATCTATGGAGATATTAGGACTCGATCCTAAAATAGCGATATGCAAAATCGCAGTTTTACCAATTAAACTATATCCCCTTAAGCTTATATGTAAATAACATAAACCCTTTTTGTAAGTAAATTAATAACCCAATCGGGGATCGAACCCGAGCATATAACGATGAAAATGTTATGTCTTAACCACTTGACTATTGGGTCTATTATTGTTAGGTATTTTATAGGCCATAAACCTACGAATTAAGTATATTTTTTATATTAAATACTTATATTTTTAATGTTAAATACTTATATTTTTTATATTAAATACTTATATTTTATAGATCATAAAGTAGTATAAATATTTGTACATTATATTTAACATTAAAGTAAATATAAAGAGACGAAGCTATATATGAATAAATATTCCTAGTTGGAACATTAGTCAACAAACCTGTGAGGAATGAATTTGAAGACATAGTATTTGTCAATAATCCAGTAGCAGTAGATGGATTATAAACTGGTATGGAAACAACTGTACAAGATCCGAAGATATTTTTAGAAAACATTATAGCTAATGAAATTACAGTTATTACAACACTAATGACATTACAATTATTGCAACACTAATAACTAAACTAGCACCTAAGTTACCTCAATAATAATTAGCAAATATTTGCACAAATGTCCCATCAAATGTAGCTGTTATAAATATTAAATGTTATAAATATTAAATCTCAAGGTACACTAGTATATGGTGGATTAGATACACACATCGCTCCTGAAACACATTTAAGAGCAACTACAACACCTATAGTTCCACTAATAGCTCCACTTGCAAACATATGTATTAAATTATCATAATTAGCAGCTACATTACTAATATTAGTAGTATTATACACGGTACTATTTAAATAAGCAGAGTAAGCATTATGATTAAAGTAAGTATTATAATCTGTACTACCATTTATAATATTAAGATTATCTATTATAAGTTTAAAATTTTCATCTTGCATTAAAAGATCATTTACATAATCTCTTAAACCCTCGTTTAAAATAGATTGAACATTAGGGAAATCTGTAACAACTTTATCCACGATTGTTACAGTTACTACAGTTGTTGTTGTATCATATGGTATTGCAGTTACAATACCATTTATGAATATTGTATAAAGTATTAACTTCATATATGTATTTATATGTGTATATAATTTGAAAAATTAGATTATAGGTCAATATTATTAACCTTAAGTTCAATATCCGAGGAACGACTTGAACGTTCACGATATAATATCAGCAAAGCTTAAATTTGCCCTGTCTACCAATTCCAGCACTCGGATTTAAAATAAATACATATTTACATAAATTAAATTTTACCTTTATATTAAATACATATTTACAGAAACAAATTTTTACCTTTATATTAAATGTATATTTACAGAAATTAAGTTTTTTTTTAATTTTTCTTTCATTCTTTCTTTAAACTATATTAAATATATACAAAAATTACATTAATTTTTATAAAAAATATAAGAATTAAACTAATTTTTTAGTTATTATAATATAAATAATAATATAATTATAATAAATAAGGCCAGAATGATTCGAACACTCATCTGAGCTATCATGAGCAGCTTGCTTTACCTATTAAGCTATAGCCTTAATATAATAAAATATATGCGGACAGAGGATTTGCACCCCTATTGACTGGGCATGAGCCAGTTATGTTACTATTACATTAATCCGCATTAGTGTATAAACAATTACATAAGCCCAGTACGAGATTTGCACTCATATCTTCCGATTACAAAACGGGTGCATTACTATTATGCAAACCAGGCTATCTATTATTTTATTTGTTTTTATTATTTTTATTTGTTTTTATTATTTTTATTTTTTTGTTTTTTAGACTAAAAATAGTATTTTTATTACGATAAGTATGTTATTTAGTTAGTAATTAAATTAGTACTTTATACCTAAAGACGTCAAAGTCATTTCAGCTAAAGCCTATTAATGTTCGTAGTGTTATACTACGTATCTTTAAGAGTATCTTAAGGTAAGCTTCGTGCCTATATGCATTCAGCACTTATCTTTAACTAACATAGCTTTCCTGCCATGCCTATACTATAAATATATACTTGAGTAAACTAAAAGTAATATCCTACAAAAACAAATTGATATAAGAAATTATTATCTCTTAATCTCATCATTAATTTTTCATTCGTTAATATTAAGCATATAAACAACAGGTAAACCAGAGGTTACCATACCCAACTCCTTTCGTACGAAGGGGCTATCCTTATTTTACTCTAATTTTCTCTAGAAGATAGAAACCATACTGTCTCACGACGTATTTAACCCAGCTCGTGTAGCTCTTTAATCGACGAACAGTCGCACCCTTCATAATTTCTGCATTCATGTGGATGAGCTAAGCCGACATCGAGGTGCCAAACTGCGCACTCAATTTGTACTCTCTGGCGCAATTAGCCTGTTCAAAAACGTTATAATAAAGAGTTTACCCCCTTTATTCCACTCTTTACAGAATGGTTCAGACTATTTCTTCATCTTTAAACTATATCTAATTAATGCAACGTGAAAAATTTATAGCCTAATTTTTTAATTTTTTATTTAATATAAAATTTTAATCTGATTTTTAAATCTAATTTTTAATATTTTTTATTTAATATCATATATTATGTATTAATAACTACTTACTCAACCTTTTAATCCAAAAGCTCCATTACGTGTTTTAGAGTGTATTATTGTAGATTGTAGATTAGATTTAACATGACCTCTTATCATAACTGACGATAGCTTATTATAAGAAGAGTGTATATTTTTTAAACTACCTTTATATCTATATTTAAATATAGATCTTGAAGCAGTTAAACGTCTGGTTAATCTACCAGACACTTCAAATCTTACACCACTAACTACTTTTTGTTTTATAAAGTTAAGGAAATTATTTTTATTAATACTATTCATATTATTATCACTTGTTAAAAGTAAATGTAAATATGGTGATTTTACCTTTAATAAAGCCTTTCTTAATACTCTTAATAGTTTATTTTTTCTGTTTCTTAATTTAAAAGCTATTGCAGATGAAAATATATCACTGTTTAAATGTATAGATTTTAATTCAATTATTTTTAATTCTACTTTTTTATTATAGATACGACTTATTAGACTAATCAAACCTAAACCTCTTCAACTCAAAAATAAATTTGTAAATTTACATTTGTTAAAATTTAACAATTTTGCATAATAAAAAAATTTTTTCTCTAGTAAAAATAATTTTTTTAAAAACATAAGGTTACGCATTTTACGTAATACAAGATATGTATTACTTACATTCAATAATACTCAAATAAATAAATTATTTCTTTTATTTAAATTTAGTCCTCATTTGTGAGAAGTAAATCTTTTTTTAAATATATATGATAATATGTTTTTTATTTTATTTTTTAGTTTAAACTTACGTTTGTATAAGTATATTTGAATTACTTTTCTTTTTATATTTATAAGTGTACGTTCAAAATGTTTATCTTTTATGTTTTTTAATTTATACTTAATAAAATTTATCTCTTGCACATTTTTTGATTCATCAAGTTTAAATAGATTTAATTTTAACATATTTTGTATATTTCTTAATTCATGTTTAAAATATAGATTAAATCTATTGTAGTATGTATTATACACAATATATTTTACCATACTTTTAATATGATTTTTAAAATTACGAATGTTTTTTCTTTGTTTTTTTGTATATATATATTTAGCTATAGATCTTATTTTACGGTTGAAAATATATTTTTGTTTATTATACGTATATAATGTAATAATAACTTTAGCATTAGTATGTCTCATTTCAGCTCTACTAACATAGATTCTATTAGCAGAAAAACGATTTTTTCTAACACGTCTACGTTTAAATAAATTTTTTAATTTACTTGTAAGTATATTAATGTAACTTTTAAATAGATTATTTACTATTTTATCTGCGTTAACTAATGATTTAAGATATGATTTATTAAAAGCATAAATACTATTAGATCATTCTTTATTTGAAGAGGGATAATATTGAATAGGATTTTTTTTTAAAATTTCTCTAATTTTTTCTTTAGATCCAATTTTATCGTCTCTATTTGGAGTAAATTTATTAATTTTATTATTTACAATTAAATTAGATTTTTTGTTTAATAAATTTAACATATCAATTATATAATAATCTTAGGTATATAATATTATATTATATAAGGTATATGATAAATATATAAATTATTATTTATTTAATTATAAATTATTTTTAATCTTTTTAATAATAAATTATATATTGTGTATTAGACATAGTTTTAATTAAAGATGCTGGGATTATATAAAGGATTATTGTTAGTCACTCACCTTTTAGTCGTTGAACGCACTTATTACTTGTTTTAATATGTTTTTTAATACATTAAAATGCTAAAATAAGTTTCGCTTCAAGTTTACTTATTTAGCGTATAATTTAGGTACGTAAATAAGTTATTCTTGAAATTTACCCAGTTATATTACCAATGGTCTTTCTTTATAAAAAAGAAAGACATTGGAGGACTAACAGTTAATCCCCAGCGTAGCTTTTTCAATAATACAAGACCTTTCCTTACTGCGTCTTGCGATCTTTATGCCCTGCTTACGCAACTGATAGACGTGTAAGTCAAACAGTAAAGCAAGATTAAGCCATTAAACTTTGAAAGTATATATAAAAATCATTCTATTAGTTTTTTAAAGCATTAAAGCTGTATAAACTTACTAATAAAATAACTAAAAGTATTATATATTATTTTTTTTTTATAATCTATTAATACCTTGTATACATCTATTTTCCATATAGTTAAAATCTTACTTATTTTAAATGTTATAGTTCTAACCTAATAGAAATGTAACTGAATAAATTATAGATCCTTAAAAAAATTAAGTAAATATAACCAATAACAAACTAAAATAATAAAATATAAAGCAATCTTTTTTAAGAAAGCTATTATAGATTAATTGCATATTGCACCTTTACAAAATTAAATTTGGATACACCCAGGTACTCTTTATGGGATCTGTGCCCCGCATAAACCGTCCGCTAGCCATTGTTTCCTGAGTAACCAAGTACTTAACTTCAAATATGAGTAATATTTCATATATTTATGTTTTTCATTGGTGTAACCTCCTTAGTTTCGGATTAGTATAGTAGACTTTAGTTTAACCAGAAGTTTTGGATAAACCTATTCTACCGATATGACAAACTAAGCAAAGGTGTTTCAATTTTGTCTCATCAACTACCTTATACACTACAACTTGTTAAATCATACCCTGTAACTAGTAACAGTAAAGCTGCATGGGGTCTGTCGAGATAGGTCGTCTTATTACTAAGATTTCCCCCTCCAAGAACCGTACGTGCGACTTTTACCGCATACGGCTCAAATCCTATATATACACATATAATTAATTCTGATTATTTCTATTATTCTCTTTATTGAAGAGACCATATAAACTTCTATCCTATTCTTTATCAAAGTATTGAATCCTTTCTATCACTTTTAAGTGTAAAAAACACTCTCCATCCTTCAAATAAGATGCTATAAACTTGTATAATCTAAGGCTTACGGCTTCTTATATACTGAAACATATGGTCAATATAAGGTTTATGGCGATTATCATCTAATCTTCATTTTATAAGGGCTATTCTAGCTCAACCATTATCATCACAATGCTCATACTTTACACCTAGTTGATCTAATTGAACGTTATTCAAATTAGATAAATTCAAGGGTTCGTAGTTTGTAAAAGCATCTGGTTTTTGGTCCTTATAGCTACCAACATCAAATCTAAACATACAAATTTCCAACCCTTTTTGACCAATAGTTCATAATTTACCATCATCCTGTTTAGCTACATCAGCTTGTTTGTACATCTGTTCTAATAACTTATTTCAGCTATCCCCTGTTTTACTTTTTACTTCCACAATCGCATATATTTCCGATTTATATGGGTTAGTGTTAATATTAAATATAGTATAATCAGGGTGATTTCCCTCTAGGTAATTATACTCAGGTGTAATAACTCAATGAGTATTTCTTGAAGAATGAAAATAATAAGGTAATATCCCACTAGTAATAAAAGAATAATCACACTCTCATAATTTATCTTCGCTATTTTCCCTCTTTCTAACATCATCAATCATATAATTAATGTAAGGTCAATTAATAAAAGGTGAATGTACTTTTATAGAATATGTAAAAGTACGTTTAGAAGGTACATGCAAATTGCGTCCATTTATAAAAAGACGTTTATTATTGGTATGATAGTATCTTTTATTATTTTGTATTTCAGACCATCTGAATATATTTAATTTACCTGAATTAGAAATTAAACTATTACTCATTAATCTTCCTGTATTCATACCTTTCTTTATATAAATCATAGAATCTATACCTTTTTTAGTTTTATAAGCTTTATCCTCTTTTAATGCTATTAGGTCTTTTCAGTCTAAGTAATCTAAGTGTTTACGTGTAAACATAGAATGTTTATCAAAGAATTTAATTATAGAACTCTCTCCATAAACAATATACCTCGAAACAGACCTTACTTTTTTACACTCATCTAATGATGTTATATCATACTTAGGTTTTAGATAACCTTTACCGAAAAATAACCTTATACTTTCCAATACCTTAACGTCATGGGTATTTTGAGCTATTTCTAATGTGTTAGTAATAACTAAGCGAGTTTTGTCTCTATTCTTATGCTCTCCTATACCACATTGGAAACAACCTTCACCATCCACAAAGGCTTGTACCCATTCATTTTTTAGAGCTATTATAGTACTATTAAGGTAATTTCATCTTTCCTCAAAAGATCTTTTAGAATTTATATTCTCTTTTATAGTTATAATAGATTTAATATCTACTGAATTAATGTCAACTGAATTTTTAAATAATAGAATAGCTTTTTTTCAATCAAGAAAATCTAATTGTTTAGAACCAACCAAAGGATATTTATCAAAATGCGGAATAATAAGATTGACCAAGTCATCTCTTTTATTTACTTGAAATTTGAAAGCATTAGCCCGTCTATTATCAATTACAATAGAACCACAATTAAAGTAATCATAGAGATCTTTCAATATTATCATTGAATGACCTTTTTGAGTAACCTTAAATGAGAAAGTTATTTTATTAGAAGACTGATTATAATTAATACTGAAATTACCTTCTGCGTCTGTTATACCAGTAACTCAGAAGGGTGGAAGTTTGTATTCATAATTTTTGTTAGTAGTGATTAAATTAGCTTTATTTAAATTAAAAAAAGTTAAATATCCCAGTATACCTTTCTGGTCTGCAAAGAGTTAGGGTGCTAGCCTTTCGATGCCCCGAGCTAATCACTACAGAAGCCTGCTCTCCTAGAGCTACGAGTGTATACTCAATATACAAGGATTGTTGTATTTAACCGTATATCCACAAAAATGTATTTAGTCCACAACAAAAACTAAATTTAGTTTAAATAATAAGTATAATGAAAATGCCAAGGTCAATGAAAATCAAAACTACAATTAAATTTCTATCTATTTATTTCTAATCTATATATTAATCAGTATTCATGTGTAAATATAAAACCAGTTCTAAGTCAGCATTCTTTCGAATTAGTCATAGACCTATTCCCACTATTACGGTGAGACATTCGCTTTTTAGAACATCCTTTACCCACTAATGTATATACAACTTTACAGTTGCACTTCCTCTTAAGAGGGCATTATTGGGCTTACCTAGTTCACTTAATAACACCTTTATTATTACCTTAGGATTTCACTATACGTATATTGACTTAAGGCCCATAAATAGACAGGCGAAATCTGTCTATACAATCAACAATAATTATTTATTAGACTTTTCTTTATATTATAATTACTCTCTATTACGCCTCAAACGTGAATTCAGAAACCTTATCCATAGTAATATAGCTCACCTCCCTAAAATAGGCAGGACAGTCTATTAACTTAATTTACGGGCTTCACACAAAAAAATTACTTTAAATGCATGCCGTATGAGCTCTGACAATGGACTGTCAGGTGGGTTCTCACCACATTGTTATTAAGCGCTTTCTAGTCGCACTCTCGTCTATCTAGAGATAGGCAGTATCTTCACTGCCATTCCAATTTCACTGAGCCAATCATTGAGACAGCTGTTGCATCGTGAGATCATTCATGCGCGACATCATTTAAATGCCAAGGTATTTCGCTACCTTAGGACCCTCATAGGTAAGGCCGCCATTGAATGGGGGTTCCTTCAAAACCTAGTCTATATTAGTCGGCTAAGTAAATCCGTTAACCATCCATCATCGGGCAGACAGCACACTCTATACATTGATTTACATCTTACGCAGAGTGCTGTGTTTTAATTAAACAGTCGTGCAACATCATTCTATGTCTCCTCTTCCTAGCCTGATATTAATCAGTAGGAATGGCACACCTTATCCCGCAGTTACGGTGTCAATTTGCCGAGTTCCTTAATGATTGTTAGCTCAAACGCCTTCGTATTCTCTACTAGCTTACTTGGGTTAGTTTCTAGGTACGGTTTTATTCATTTAATTAGTATCATCTATTTTAGTTTATTTACTAATATAAATATAATATATCTTTTTCCAGAACATTTTTTACTCTACAACAGATATAAATATCTTCATATATCATCTAACTACACCATCCATTCCCAATAACTAAATTATATTGGGGGAGACAGCATATTAGACTTATTCATTTACATATAGTAATTTAATATATAATATTAATGTTGTATAAATGTTTTACATATATCTCTCATCGTTTGATCCTTTAGGTTAAACTTAGAGGCCGTTTTTCTTTATATAAACCATAAGCTTAAGGCGAGGGGAATTACCCCTTTTTCGTTACTCATGTCAGCATTATCACTTGGGATATCTAATTAGTATTCAAAATTTGGATACTAATTCTAAGATTTACCCAATGTTCCGCTACCCCATATAACATATTTTTTTTTTACATAATAATAAAATTATATAATAAAATCATATAATATAATTATATAATAAATATGTTATTATGGACAAGGTGTCGGTGTATTGTTTAGATCCGTTATATCTTCGGCGCTTTTAACTAAAGAGGTTAATAAAATTTAACCTATTGAACCAGTGCTCTGTTACGAGGTCTTTAAAAAATGGCAGCTTCTAAGCCTATTTCCTGGTTGTATGGTTTAAATACTTCCTTACTTTCACTTAACAATAACTTTGGAACCTTAAACACTTGTTCTGGGCTGTTTCCCTTTAGACATACAACCTTATCGTTAAATGTCTGATTGTTCAACATTCATCATTGCCATTCCGAGAGCAAATACTCGCGAATAGAGTCTTCACGACCCCCCCATGTGTACAAAAATATATAACTTTTTTACAATTATATACAATTTGTCCGAGATCACAGTTCTGTACCTGCTATGATGTTATTTAAACTACATACTTACATATGTTTCGCGGAAAACCAGCTATAGGTAGTCAGTATTGTCTTTCACTAACTTACCACAGTTCTTTGGATATCTTTACAACGATAACCCATTCGGCCTTTTATAAGCCTGACCATGGTAAGATCACCACCCTTCGGGTCTCTACTTAGATACTTAATCATTACTTAATAATCGGATTATCTAGGCATCATTGCTTGCATCTAATTAGAACTTGCTGACCCATTATACAAAAGGTACGCTCTTATATATGTTTATTAAACTTAACTTGAGCTGCTTATAAGACTACTAATTCATACCATTTCCCTCACGGTACTAGTTCACTATCGCTTGTATATCATACTTAGCCTTAGAGGAAGGTTCCCCTTTATTCAAACAGATTAATCCATTTTACTTATTAGGCATTTCTACTTTCATTCACACTACTCATAGAATCTCGTTTGATTTCCTTTCCTGAAGCTACTAAGATATTTCAATTCGCTTCGTTTATAAATAGAATTTATTCAAGAGCTTATGGATCTAGGGATAGGTAAATACCTATGCTATGATCAAATATATCTCTTTAATATACAGCTAGATATCCTTAATAGTCTCTTTATATACTTGCCATTATATTTAATCCCTTAACTTAGTTAAGGGATTAAGCATAATGAAATAACACAATACATATCAAATACATTCCTATTAATTAATATAAAATATGCTTTAAATATACTATAAAAAATATTTTCGGGTCATTATGATTCGAACATAACTATTCCTCAACCCAAATGAGGTGCCTAACCAACCTGGCTCTAACCCGTTTAGAAAAAAATTTTTTTTTCTTTATTTTATTTTTAACTTTTATTGCAGAGAATATCCGATTCGAACGGATGTGATTTTTCAATCAAATAAGTTTCAAGCTTATCGCTATAGACCACTCAGCCAATTCTCTTTTTTTTTTTATTAATATAAACTTTAAACGTTACTATAATATATATTTTTTTTTATATATTTTTAGATGTATTATTACCATGAATACATCATGATTCCTCAGCGAATCGAACGCTGATAATACTCTTATCAAAAGCACACTTTACCTATTAAGTTAAGAAATCTTTAAAAACAAGAGCATCCAGACTTGAACTGGAAATTTGAAGTTTGAAGCTTCCTATTTTACCATTAAACTATACTCTTTATTAGTATTAAATTTTAAGAATAAATTAGAATAACGTTTATAAAATACGTTTATTTATTCATGCATTCATGTATTGATATATTAACACATAACATTTATACAATACATAAAATAACATTTATACATATGTACATACATAGGTACATACATACGTACATACTTAACATTTATACATAATATTTATATACAATATATTATATATTAATACTAATTAACTATTTTTATACTTAAATTATATGTTTTATATATTATATATCTAATTATATACGTTTAATATTATATAGGTTTAAGATTATATAAGTTTAAGATTATATACGTTTAATATTATATACGGAAGAGAGATGATTCGAACATCCAGGTGAAAAACACAATATTTAGCAAATATCTTGCCTTACCAATGGCAACTCTTCCTATTGCTAAAATAGTATATATTAATTTCGAGTTAGACCGGGATCGATCCGGCATCTACTTTCGTGACAAGAAAGTCCTTTACCATTAAGTTACTAACTCTTTACGGCTAACCGAATTCGAATCGATACACT